CGGCGCGGGGGTGTTTCCGGCGTGACGAGGGCAGGAGGAGGCACGAGCCGGCTGCTGCCAAGTGCACCCACCCGCCCTCTCGTCGCCCATCCTCGGGCTGGTGTCACCAACACTGTCGACACTGGGGTGACACTGGAGCCGCAGCAACCAGGGGGTTGGCGGCGGGGGGGTCCCTGGGGTGGCGGGGCGCTGGCTGGTAGTCAGGGACGCCGCAGTCAGATAAACAGCAGCACTCACAGGGCTGGTTACAGCAACACACACCGGCCCCAGGCAGGGGGCTGCGGCCGGGGTCAGGGTGGTCCCGTGTGTTCCCCCCCCTCCTTTTATTTATTTTTCTGTCTGGGGGGGAGCAGGAGGGGCAGAAAGGCGACCAGAAGGCTCTGGCTGCAGGTGGTGGCTGTGTCAGGTCTGGCAGGTGCTCCCAGGGAGCCCAACATGTCTCGCACTAATTCCTGTACTGAGCAACAACTCAACATTTATCCGGAGATTTCAGAAACAAAACCGTCACAGAAACCCGGCAGCAGCGGGTCGGATCAGCGACCGACATAAATCTCCACGTGTTTCACTAACCTGGGCCAAACCCTTGTGGCGCGGTGCCCGCTCCTGCTTAAAACTGCTTTATTTGCGTTCGGCCACGCAAACCTCCGCTAGCCTAAAACTGCGGGTTTTTGGGGTGAGAAATCTCTGCTTTGGCTCTTGTTAGCACCCAGCAGCACCACGTGGCTGCTTTACAGCCCAAGCCCTCCGGGACCAGCGGGACGGGATGTTCCCCGCCGGGGCGGGTGGACCAGCCGGTTTGTCCCAGGCACGGAGTTGGAGGAACATCCCGTGGGTTAATAAATTATCGCTGGTCTAGGTGGGGTGTGGAGCAGTGGCCAGAGGATGTCTTGTGCCTTTGACCATTGTTGGCCCTTTCTGGCCCCGGGAAGCTCCAGGCTGGGGCTGGTGCAGGGTTTGGCCGCCCGCCCGCACGGCTGGGGCTGGCAGGGCGCCCGGCACCCACTTCCAGCCTCTTCCCGCCTACTCTGAGTGCAATTTTTATTTCTAATTATTGAGGCGATGAGAGAGGTTTGTCAAGCGTTCTCTTGGAACCAAGGTTTCTTGGATGCCTCCTTAGGACTATTTCTCCAGTGCTCCCTTTTTTTCATTCTCCTTTTCCTCCCTTCTCCCCCTGCTCCCGGGCTCTGTCGAGAGACTGTTTTCCTGGCTGCCTTTGCGCAGCACTCAGCTCCACGGAGCATCCCGCATCTGCCAGCTGCAGGTGCTTAATTAGCTGTACGTTCGTTTGGCGTCGGCCGGGAACGGGGGCCCGTTGGAGCCGGTGAGCAGTGCGCGGAGGGGCTGATGGTGGTTGTCACGGGGTACAGTGGGGCTCAGAGATGCCAGACACAGCGGGGACATGATGGACAGGCAACTTCAGGCCTGATCCCGGGCACGAGAAGGATATTCTGAAAGGCTGACCACAGACAAAACTAAGGTCTTCCTGTGCATCTCGGCGAGACCCGGGGCAGGGCAGGGCTGGACCCTTTGATTAAAGCGATCGCACCGTTTGCTGGTTTGGAAGCAGTGAGCCCAGGCAAACAGCCCGGCACGCGTCGCCGTCAGCCTCAGCTTTAGTACTGATGTCTTGGAGCAAGGATCAAGGTCAGAAGATGTGTTGGGCGATGGGTCAGGGCCTCGAGGGCGCTAACAGGCGTTCACGGCCCTAAGCAGCCTCCCCTGGTACCTCTCCACACCCGCCCATGGGTTAAGCTCAGCCCTGGGGTTCTGTCCTAGCCCAAGCTTTGTTGCAGGTGGGTCTGACTCCAGCTTGGCCACACGCCTGTGCCTGGCCATGGACCCAGCCCTCTACCCACGGACTGACATTCCGGCTTGGCCCCGGAGCTGGTCTTGCCCCAGTGACCCCGCCCAGCAATCACTGAGCTGTGTCTCACCTCGGTCTGTGTCACCAGACCTGATCCCGACCTGTGTGTTGACTTCCTAGCTTGAATCTGGACCTACTTCATCATAAGCTTGACTGGAGATCTGGGCTCAGGTTTGACCCCAGCTGCCATCCCTAGTTGCCCATGGCTGGGGACTGCAGGATGGACCGGGGCTGGCGAGGCCCTTGTGGTGCCCTGGCACAGTGTTGGGGACGGGGTCACAGCAGCGATGGTTACCTCCACCAGCACACACCAAGGGGCACGGGCGGGCTTAGAGGGGTGTGAGCAGGTGGCTCAGATTTCCCCATTCTGGATACCCTGAGGTTCCTCTTGTCTCCCGTTGGATGTTCTCTAAGGTGCAGGTGCCTCCACTGAGCCTGCACCCCTTGGCCCATTACTGTCCAGGAGGAGGAGGAGGTGCCCCTGCGTGGTCGGGGGGTACCCAGCCTTCTGTTAGGAGGAGGCAGGGATGTGCCTGCTAGGCTGCCAGGAGCAGGAGATGGGGGGCAGTTTGGCGTCCCCCCCTCTGTCCCTCTTCACCCAGATGCAGCCCAGAGCTGGCTGGCTGCAGGGAAAGATGTCCCAAGCTGACAGCTTCACCAGGCTAAGGACACGAGTGGGGTCACAGCAGGAGATGGGAGACGTGCATTTCTCTCTGCTGAGCCCTTTTGCCACCTTACTTTGCCCAAACAAAGTGGGAACAGCCAGTCTGGGACCCAAGGGGCTTCTCTCATCTGGGTGTGGAAGAAATCTCATCCCTCCAGGTATCCCAGCTCTTCCCGCTCCCTTAGCTGTGTGACAAATGGCAAGTGGAGCCGTGAGGTGTAGCACAAGTGTCCCACCATGCACAGCAGCCCCCTGCCAACCCTTTCTTCCTTCTCAGCCATGCTGTGAAAATGAAGATGGGCCCCAAACGTGCTGAGTTTATGGGTGTCATTTAGGATCCAAGTAAGGAGCCAAATGCTGAGTCCTTAGAGGTGGAGAAGGATGATGCTGCGGATCAAATTTTTTTGGGGGGCGAGCTCCTGGACGCAGGTGCTGTCCATGTTGCTGTTCAGGGTCTCTTTGACCTAGGATGAGGTGACCAGCTTGGGCCCAGCTGGTGGCATCCGTGAGCATCTGAGGGCAGCATCATGTGTTGGAGCAAACCAATATCAAATTTGTCTTGTAACAGGAGGAGGAGTAGGGACAGAAGTAGATCCTTCAGTGAAAGAACGAAAAAAAAAAAAAGTGATCAAAGGCGTGAGATAAAAAATAATGGCAAGGACAGACTTCTGTGTGGGATTATTTAATAATAAGTTAATTAATGCTTTATAGCTCACTGCCTCTTTTCATGTAAGGATCACAAAGCGCTTCACAAACATTAATTAATCTTCTCTAACATCCCTGCAGGGAAGGTCACTGAGCTACTGAGCGTAAGGGAAATCTTGTCATTGATGAAGGCGGCTGCTCTCTAGGCATGACGGATGCTCGGGTGTGATGGCAGGATGGGGAGAGTTTCTATCCCTCGTTGATGTCTCCAAATGATTTCCCATAACTTCCTCAGAGAGGAAAAACGTCTTTGAGTTGTCATGGGCAGCTGGGACTGGGCGAAGGCGGGCCCGAAAGGTGACCCATGCCAAAGCCATTGAGCATCCCCAGGACACTGGGAAGGCAGGGGGGTCTATCCAGGCAATCCCCAGAGCCGATGCCCACACACGGTTTGAGTAAGTGTAAGACACCCATGAAGGGCAAATCTGTTGGGAAAAAAAAAAAAAAAATGCCCAAGTGAAGTGGATTTCGATGCAGCCCTGAGCTGCGGCTGGTCCTGCAGAAAGCAGGGCAAAGAACATCAGGTGTTGAAGGGAGAAAGATGTTTCCCGATAACAAATATTCAGCCTGAAGTCACCGATCCGTGACGCCCAGATGGCTACAGAGGAGTGTGTGTCAGTGCCGGGCTTTACACCTCCAGGGTAGTAAAAAAGTCTGTCTGCAGCTCTGGGGAAGCCACCAACCCCCAGCTGTGCTCAGAAGAGTGTCCCTTGTCCACCGCGGAGAGGTGACGGGCCCAGCTTTGGGGTGTTGGAACATCTGGTGGGATCATGTTGTCATTGCTCACATATCTGTGGTTGTCCTTGTTCCTAGATCCCGGCAGCGGTGCCAGCATGGCTGAGCAGGACCCAGCCTCAGGCTCCTTGCATGGAAAGAAGCAGCTGCCAGGTCAGTGTGCAAGAAGTGTGTTCTGGGATTATTTTTCTTTTTTTTAGACAGTTCGTTGAGAAAGCTGAATGTGGGGCAGGGTTGTGAGGTGGGGAAGAAGCAGGTTTGGGGTGAAAAGGTCTGGAAAGATGGACCGTCAGCTGGGATGCAGGAGTTGGGGACCGTGGCTGGGATGTCCCTTGCTTGGCGGTATCTGCACCCGGGATAGCAAAAACGAAATCAAGAGAGGAACGGCCAGTCTTCAGAATAGCAAAGACTGTGCTTGGAGGAGTCGTCCTTCACCTGGCCTGATTCTACTGTTAAACCAAAACCTGAGCCCAGATGGTTAGCCCGAGGCTCGGAGGGGAAGTGTGTGCTGCAGTCCTACATCTCTGGAAGCTTCTGGCCTCCTGCCCCCTCTGTCCACTCCACAGCCCAGCTGACCCCGAAGACCCGGCTCTGTTCCGGCAGCTCTCAGGTGTAGGCGCACCGTGGAAAGCCCATGTCACCAGCAGTGGGTCACCGTGAGCCCAGTGGCACCATCACTGGTCCTTGTGCACTTGGGGACCAGCTGATGGCCAGGGCCTGACTCTGATGACAGCTCGTGGATGTCCACTTGCTTTTCCAGCTTTCACCTGGGAGGTGAGGGCCAACGACCGAAACTACCACGTGCAATTCAGGAAGAAATTGGCTTTCTGTCTGACCAAAAAGAAGTATGCGGTGAGTCAGCCCGGGCCGTTTCTTTACCCAGCCCCTGATTCCTGAGCTGGTGGTGGTTGGGGGTGACGTGACAGAGTGATTTCCAGTGGGATGGAGAGGCACGTACATAATCCTCAGCAAAGAGGAAGGGCTGCTCCCGGCCTGGTGCCCCGGATGCCCTCTGAGACTCTCAGACAAGGAGCAGAACTGTATGAAGGATACTCCAGTCTGAGGGTCAAATCAAATGAAATAATATTTTTTTTAAAAGTTTTGATCAAAAAAGCCCAGATTATTTTTTTTTTTCCCAGCTAAACAGTGGCCATCTAGCTGGGGGTCAGTTAGGTGTGCTTTAGATTATCAGGAACAAATGATTTTGTTTCATTTTTATATGTCCCTTTGCCCTAATAAATATCTTCCTCGTGGCTTTGGTAAATTTTTAAAGGCCTCTCTTGCGCCATATAAAGTCCTAAAACCACCAAAACGTTTTGGGCCTTTTCAAAACACATCCTTGACCTCCCGCTGTGGCTCTGACCTGCCTCCCTTCCGCAGGGCAATGCCATTAGGACGGCTAAGTACAACATCTTCACCTTCCTGCCACTGAACCTCTATGAGCAGTTCCACCGAACGGCCAACGTCTACTTTGTCTTCGTCATCCTCTTACAGGTGAGCTGGACACCAAGGTAAGAGCGAGCGTGTGTGAGACTTTCTAGCAGAGGAGGGTTGTCTGGTGCTTAGAGTAGGGGACTCTGGTCTAAAGTGGTGTCAAGGATGCTGCTTTTTCGGGGTGTTCGTCGTCTTTCGTGGACTCTGAGGGGTTTAACCTACATTAAGTTTGGTAACTGTAAACTTACTTGGTTTAGATGGATGTGAAGCTCATGTAGACCACACCTAAATAGAAATCTTAACCCTCCACATTCAGGCACCCACACGCATTTCACACATCCACTTCAAAAAGTGGTGGAAATTCAACAAAACAGTTCTCTGTAGCCAGATGTTGGTTTGATTCTTCGGAGATGGATTCCTGCCGTCTCCAGGCACTGGCTGGGGAGGGGAGCTGGGAGCAAGGGCGAGATATAATCACCTCAAGTGTCCCGAAGTGGGATGAAAGTTGCGTCAGTGGTGTGAAATTCTCCTTCCCTAGACCTTTCCTGAGATCTCCACAGTGCCCTGGTACACTCTGCTGTTCCCCCTGAGCTGCCTCCTCACCATCCGGGGCCTACGAGACCTCATCGATGACATTGTGAGTATGGGTTGGAGTGAAAGCCTCTGAGTGTTGGGTGAGCCGAAAAGCTTGGGTGTCGCTGTCATTCGTCATTCCTGAGACACCATCAACTCTTCCATGTCCAAAATGCTTCGTATTTTCCCTTGGGAAGGATGTGACCAGCCAGTTGCTTTCCTTGGGGTCTAGAACCCCATCTCTGTCATCTTTAATATCTCAACCGATGGCTGTACTCCCAGGTTAGCCCCCAGAAATACCCAGGGGGGATTTAGCCTCTTTATTCATCAGAAGACATCTTCCAATTCCTTCAGAAAGCAGATCTTGCCCTGGGGCTGAGGATACGGACTGTAGCATCAAGAAGGATGTTTTCATGGGACAAAGAAGTCTGGCATGGCCCATCCCTTTCTTTTGGCCTCTTTTTTTTTTTCCTCTCCTTTGTGCAGGGTCGTCACCAAAGTGACAGAAACATCAACAGCAGGCCATGTGAAATCCTGTCTGGGAAGAGGTAAGGGGCTCCGTGAAGCGGTACCCGTGTTTTCCAGGCCTGTGTGGATCGAAGGATTGTCCCAAGTGCTGAGCATCCTTGAGCAGAGCAGCTGAGGAGGGTTTTGGAGGGACCGTCCCTGGCTCTGCAAGCTCCCATCACTTCCCAAAATCAGCTGTTCACCTGTAGGGATAGACGTCAGGTCTAAACCAGCCCGAATTTGCTGTGATATTCCGGGAGGAAGGTTTCCTTGGCCACATCAGTTCCTCCCCATCTTCGTATCTATCCCACAGAGTCACGGCCCTGCTAAACGCTGGTTCGAGGAAGGACAAACATTTCCCACCTGTGGCGAAGGGGTTGAAAATCCCTGCCAGCCATAGGTACGGGAGATGCGGATGTGACAAATGCGTCCTGTGCCACCCCTAGTGCTCAGCTGTCCTTCGGTCTTGCAGATGGGAGGCCACCACGGTGGCAGAGGAGTCAACAGTCTGGAGATCCCATTCATGCAAGAAGCGGGGACAGACGCAGGCTGGTCCAGAGGACAGAAACAGTCACAGCCCCATCCCCACCGCTCTGTGAGGATAAAAATTTCCCCCCTAATTCTCCTGCAGCTTCCGCCGGCAGAAATGGCGTGACATCTGTGTTGGGGACATCGTCCGCCTGCGTAAGGAGGATTTCGTCCCGGTGAGTGGTGCCCCAGAGCTGGCTGCACACCAGGCGCAGTGGCTGGGGGGGGGGAGTTTCAGCGAGGAGGGGCTCAGCCAGCTGCTCTCTTCCCCATTTTTGCTCTTCAAGGCCGACATGCTCTTGTTGTGCAGCTCGGAGCCCAGCAGCCTGTGCTACGTGGAGACTGCGGAGATCGATGGGTGAGGAGAGGGGCAGGGGATGGATATGGCAATGCAGGGAGAGGAGCAGAGACACCCCAGCCCGTGGCTGAAGCCTCCAGTCTTGGGGACCCCTGGCACTGGGGGATCAGGCATGCTGGGAGGGCTGCAAGTTCAGCAGAAACCACGGGATGTGGGGATCATCTGAAAGCTAAACCTACAGACACGCCAGAAATGGAATTTGAGCCCCGAATTTCTGAAAATGGGAGCCCAAACCCGCTTTTGAGGCTTCCACAGCACAGCTCGTGACCTTGGGCATCTCTCTCCGTCTCCTGGCCTCCTCCCAGCCAGGCGGAGGACAGCAGCTGCCCATCCCTCCCACCCCGTCTGCAGGACGATTTAACGGCAGGGCCTCTGGGCCGCGGCTCTCTCCCCGCAGGAGTGCTCAGTGTTCGGCACGATACGTCCCTATCTCACTTTTCGTTGCCATCACTCATGTGATCGCCCAATAATTAACAGCCGTCTCCGTCCCATGGGTCTGATAGCGGAATTAATATCTCTGTCACCCCATAGGGTTGTTTTATTTGTCCCTCCCTGGCTCTTGTTCACAGGGAAACAAACCTGAAGTTCAGACAAGCCCTCCTGGCCACCCACCAGGAGCTGGTGAGCGAGGAGAGCATGGCCGCCTTTGATGGTGAGTCTCCCAGACAGGCAAGGATGCGGCCATCCCACCAGGATGGGACGGGCTCAGCCTCGGGAAGTCTCTGTCCCCTCTGTCCCCTCAGGCATCAAGTGCCCTCCGTCCAACAAGAGGTTGCACTTGCTCCCGCCTGCAAGGAACCAAAGACCTTGCATGACAGCCCTTCCCCAGCAGCGTGGCTCTGTGATGGGTCCATCAGGGTTGTGGACCTTCCCCTGACCCCGGAGCTTGATTTTCCCACTGAAATCAAGCGCCTGGCTCCCAAACCCGAGCTCAGACCCTGGATTTTTTCCCCTTTGGTTCCCCATAGGATACAGACGCCCCTCTGGGGATGAAGAGGGTCGTGTTTTATAACCCAGTGCGGTTCCTGGACCGAGCATCCTCCCAGCATTTCAGGCTGTCCCCCCATCTTAGCCTTAATTTGGAGCATCCACATCCCAACCGCGTCTGGAGATACCCTGACAAAACCCGACTCTCCCGAGATGCCCCCTGCACAGCTCTTGGGGGGGGGGGGGGAAATGTTTCTCGTCCAGGATTTGATTCCAAAATTATGAAGAACTGTGGAAAGATCAAGCGGAAGAAAACCAAGCTGGAGCGCATGATGGACCGGCTGGTGATCATAGTGAGTGTGGTGCAAACACCTCCCGCCCTGGCCCACTGACCTCCTGGGGTTGCTCACAAGTCGTCTCCTAAGATGCTGCTTGCTTGGGTGATGCTGATTTTCTTAAGCTTGCAATATTTTGCTCAAAATGTCTTGGGTTTAACCTGTTATGGTCAAATACCAACTGGTGTTCCCAGGAAGTGGTTGTTGCTGGGTCTGGAGCAATCTGCACCGCGGTTGTGTTGCTTAAACCCTGGACTCTGGCAGCTCTGAATCCTCCGCTGTAGAGCCGCCCCTTGGACCAGGGAGCTGGAGTATCCAGGATCCCCAACCCCTCCTGGCCTGCTTTATGAATCCATCTCTGTGCAGGTCCAAGGAGGTGGCTTGTTCCGGGGGCCCCGCAGGCTGTGGCTCAGCATGGAGGATGGAGGATGGGAGAAGGAGGAGCCTTTTCTCTGTGGGAAGCAAAGCAGCCTGGTCGTAACAAGGAACTGGACGGCTCCTAGTCCGGTTCCTGGTGGTTGACTGTCACCACTTCTCAGACTGGCCAGCAGCATTCCTGTTTGCTGGTACTTCAGCGGGAAGGCTGCAGGACACCCCTTGCCCAGGGATATGGTGTCTGAGGCGATTAGGAGGGTGGGAAAATTGGGTTTTGCTCTGTGTGTGTGTGTGTTGTGGATGCGTCAAGCTGAAACACATGCTGCAATCCTTCCCCTCGGCCCAGGATGAGCTCCGAGAAGGACAGCTTTCCACCAGGTTTACAGCTAAAATGAAACAGTCTGGAAGGGACGATGGTTGGTCCTAGAAAAGAGTTTGGTGAGCTCTGTGTGATGGGGAAATTCTTGGCTTCCCATCTCAGATCTTCCTGGTGCTGTTGGTCACCTCGCTCTGCCTCGCTGTTGCCTCTGGGTTCTGGGCCAGGATGTTCCAGGAGAAGCACAGCTACCTCTCTGCTCTCTACAAGCACACAACTCCCGCCCAGCAGGCCTTCTTCAACTTCTGGGGCTTCACAATCCTCCTGAGCATCATCATACCCATGTCCATGTACATAACGTAAGAACAACAGAGCTTGGAAGTGATCCTTACCCCCTCCTCCTTGGCCATCCCCTGGCACCCTGGTTTACAGCCACAAAATGGGGCTGCACAAAAGACCCGGCCGTGACCCAAGTCCTTCCCATGAGTTCCCCTAGCCCTAAGGGGGTGAGGACGGAATGAATTTTTTGTGTCTTACAAACATTGATGACGTGCTTTGAGGGGAAAGCCAGAAGGGAGATGCGGAGACACGTGCTGATGTAGGAGACTGTGGGCAGGCTGAGGATGAGACTGATGAAGGTCTGAGCAGCAGCAGGGTGGGGAAGAGAAGGGCACAGCCGTTGTGAGCCGGCAATAATCACAATTTGTGCTGGAAGAAGCAGTTTCCGAACTTTTGAGCCCCCGCACGGAATCTCCAGATCTATGAATTTCTGTTGTCAAGGGCCAGGTTTCCAGAGGGGAGCCCAGTTGCCTGGGAACAAATGAGCTCTCTGGTGTGATGAGCCTTCTAGAAAACTGGCCACAAACCATGAAAACCCTCTTGCTTCTCCCAAGCTCAGAGCAGTAGGATCCGGGCTGGGAGTTCCCCTCTGCCCTTTCTTCCTGCGACAGATCCCCAAATTCCCCTGGGATACGAGTAATGTGTTCTCCTTTCCCGGCGTAAGTTGTCTTCTATCTGACTCCCTAGGTTTGAATTCATCTATCTGGTGAACAGCTTTTTTATCAACTGGGATCTGGAAATGTATTACGCTGTCAAGGACATTCCAGCAAAGGCCAGGAGCACCAGCCTCAATGATCAGCTTGGCCAGATTGAGTATATCTTCTCAGACAAGACTGGCACCTTGACACAAAATGTTATGAGCTTCAAGAAATGCTGCATTAACGGGACCATCTATGGTAACTTTTGGTGGATGCAAGTCTGTAGAGGCTCGTGAGTGAGGTGAACCTTGAATTTTAGGCCACTCTGGTTCTTTCCACTCCTCCTGGCTTGCCAGGAAGCTTGGGGCCTGTGGATGGATCTTGGTGGTCCAGCGCTGTGAGCAGAGGCTGCAGGAATTCAGCTCTCTCTCATCTCCCATGCTATTGGCGCTTTGCCGGGGCCACCACGCCTGTGGTCACATCTGTCACATCGTGCTCCCAGAGTCAGGGCACGGCTCTGCCTTCCTAGAACGGATGCCTGCCTTTCCGGAGACGTACCATTCCCCAAAGTCAGCTGAAATCAGCCAGCTCTTCCCCGATACAACAGGGGGCCTGGGGTTAGGAGCGAACACGCAGCCCGAGTCAGGGGGACCCCACCTGGAATACCTGGCTGGTGCTATCCAGGACAGGGGGCGGTGGGCCAGCGGAGCCCACGGATTTTAATTTTCTATGAGGGTCCTGGAGAGAAAAAGGAGGTTTTGCTTTTCTTCTTTGCATCGTTTTCCTGGTGGATCTCCAGCTTGGTTTCCAAGTCTGGGCACTGTGAGGCTTTCAGGTTGCCTGTGGAGGAGGCAAAGAAATTATCATTTCCCTTATGTCGTTTCTTTACAGCGAACGCATGTCATTTCTCTTTGTTTTGGTTTTTTTTTTTTTATTATTATTTAAAAAAAAAAAGATTGGGGTTTTTTTCCCTTAGAAACCTGAGAATTGCCAAGCCCTTCCTTTTCTTATTGCTAGACTTACGCGAGCTCTCAGCTGGCTTTTGGGAGCTTAATTAGAGAAATTTAGCAAGTGGGGTGGGCCAGAGTTTTAGCATGGAGCTCCTTTTTCCTGAGACAAGTATCAGGCACTTGAGGCAAAAGAGCAGTGATAGAAGCAAAGGGGAGGGGGAAAAAAAAAATCTAGCAAAGGTTTTAAGCAGGAACAAAACCAATTTCCCCCCGCCTGATGTATCGTGTTGCACCTCCGTGATAGCAGCGTTGCCGTAATTCCACCAGTCTCTGGCCAACCGCAGAGTCTCCCAGGAAACATGGATGAAGGCTAGACCTGGATTTTTTAATATTTAAAACCATGTAGGAAGTCTGGAACCGTCCAAGAGCCAAATAAGTCAAACATCCTAACAGCCTGCCTCGCGACCAGCGCCGAGCAGATGCTGGAAACCTGACCCTGCTTGCCAGTCTTTTGGCCAGCCAAAGCGGCGGCTCCACCCAGAGGAACTGCCCGAAGCTCCTGCTAGAGATGCCCCCTGCCACTTCTCTATTAATTGAATTATTTTTATTTTGACAGGTGCAGGCAGAGGCCGTGAGAACAAGAAGCCATCGGTGCGTAACTCTCCTCTCCCATGTAGCGTGGGGCCAGACGCTGCTCCTCACCCGGGGCCCGAGCTGCAGCAGTTATTGATTACGCTGGCAGCAGGACCAGCCGTTGGTTTTGGCGCACCAGTCGCTTACAGTGGGGTCCCATGCTGGAACAGGGAGGAATGTGCTTCCTTGGGCTGGCGAGTTTGCCAGTTCTCAGCTACCAGTTAAGGACAAGGGAACCAAGATTATAAAAATGCAGTTCAAAATTATTATTATTTTTTTTTTTAATTCCCAGTCTTGGTGTAGGCAGTGCAGAGCTCGGCTTACCGACTCTGATCTGGATTGGGCTGTGCCAGCGCAGGGTTGCCGTGCTGCAGCAGAGCCCCGTGCTCGGTCTCGCTCTCGGGCCCCTGCAGCCTGCCCGTGCCTCTTGCAGGGGTCGGCGTTGACCTGGAGCCATCGTGGGGAGAAGAAGTTGGACTTTTGTGACGCGACGCTGCTGGAAGCTGCCTGGCGGGACAGCGACCCCGTGCTGAGGGAGTTCCTGAGGCTGCTGGCCCTCTGCCACACTGTCATGGTGGAGGAGAAGGGCGGTGGGTTGGCCGCGGTGGTTGACGTGCTCGGAGTGGGGTTGAGGGGCTGTTCAAGGCGTCGAGGCCGCGGTGGCTTTTTCCATCGCCCAGCAAAGCTCTGCTGTGGGGCTGCGGGTGGTGTGAGAGCCTGGGGATGCTTTGGGCCACTGTTCCACCATCACAGACGTGAACATTCGGGTTTGTTTTAAAGATAATTAGTTGGAACAGAAGCACGGGGGTGATAAACCACCCATGTCTGGGCACTCGTCCTGCCCGGGGCAATGAGCAGAAGAGATGAGACAAGCAGGACTGAGATTCCCTAGCCTGGTGGCTTGAAATTTAGGGTCTGCATACACAATGTTGATGCGGGGCAAGAACAAGGTGTTCCAGATGTCCAAGAGTTGCTTGGTTGGGAGTCTTCTTGTCTAACCCCTACTCCTCGTTTGCAGATCAGCTGGTTTATCAGGCAGCTTCACCAGATGAAGAAGCACTGGTGCTGGCAGCCCGGAACTTGGGGTACGTCTTTCTGGCCCGAACACAAGACACCATCACCATCAGTGAGCTGGGGGTGAAGAGGACATACAAAGTGCTGGCCATGTTGGACTTCAACAGCGATCGCAAGAGGATGTCTGTCCTGGGTGAGGGGGATGGCGTGTCTGAGGGAGGTTGCTGAGGGTCTCTTCCATACCCAGCCCTACAAGGGATGGCACTGGGGTGGCTGTGGTTGGCCACAGGGAACTCGCCAGGATTGTCCTGGCCATCCCTACAGTTTTGCTCACCCCGATCCCTTGGTGAAGGATTTGAGCAGCCAAGAGAGAGCATGTAGGTCAGGGGCTCAGAGGAGGTGGGTGGGGAACTGACGGTCCTTGAGGCCTGATCCTGCCTCACGGTGGTGTAGATCCAGGGGCAATTCTGTGCTTCCTATGACTGCGAGCAGAAAAGCGTTAGTGTCCCCTGTGTTGCCTTCTGCAGCACGTCCACTGCACGGGGACAGCGATGAGTGGGAGCCGTCGCTCTGGGTACCTAAGCTGTCCTTCCCTTCTCTCCCAGTGCGAGACCCCCAGGGCACGATCCGGCTCTACACCAAGGGGGCTGACACAGTCATCCTGGAGAGACTGCAGAGACGAGGGCCCAATGAGACCTTCACCGAGATGGCACTGGATGTGAGTCCCACACCGGCCTGGGGGGAAAGGGCTGGTCTCCTTGATACTGGTCTCCCTGATACTGGGTGTTCTGGAGTCACCTGATGCTCTTCCTCCCTCTGGCTTCAGGACTGTGGTCCTTCTTTCTTCCTTCTGGGACAGGGGCTAAGAGGGCATCAAATCCACCTTCGGTGTTCTGCATGGACCAGTTACATTGCAAGGATGCTCACGGGGATCCTGTAGGATGGGGGAGGGAGTCAGAGCCCAGATGGAGACCCTCAGGTCCTGGCGGATCTCCGGATCTGCCCATGGGAGCAACCTGGCTGTGCGGCAAGATGCCCTGGTCCGCCGCAAGAGTCATCCTGGTTCAGGGAAGGGAGACCTGATGTCTTGTCTCTGCAGCGCTTTGCAGAGGAGACACTGAGGACTTTATGCCTGGCCAGCAAGGAGGTGAGCGAGGTCGAGTACAGCGTGTGGAGCAGGAGGCACCAGGAGGCCAGCGTCCTGCTGCAGGACCGCGTGCGGGAGCTGGACAAGCTGTATGAGGAGATGGAGCAGAACCTGCAGGTGGGATGAGGCTGGGGTTTAGGAGGAACCAGCTACGCTGGTCCCACGGAGGGCAGGAGTGTGGGGTTTGGGCTTTCTGGGATGAGGGAGTGAAGTGTCCGACCCAACACCCATCCCCTGGGTGAGAGGGCAGGTGGAGTTCCTCCCCAGGGGTGACCGGGAAATACCAGTAGACTGAGTTAGAGATCTGTCAGGTCATGGGCAAGGACCTCTGGTTGGTTCTCACCTCTGCATCTTTGCCTGCCCGATGTCGCAACACTCACTCACCCTCCTTCCAGCTGCTTGGGGCCACGGCCATTGAGGACAAGTTGCAAGACGGAGTCCCTGAGACCATCCAGCTGCTGAAACTGGGCAACATTAAAGTGTGGGTGCTAACGGGAGACAAGCAAGGTCAGTGGAGGGAACTCCAGGCCCCACCAACACATTTCAGCTTCTCCCCTAACCAGGACCAGGGAGGAGATATGAGACCCCGGGTGGACAACAACCAGGTTCTGCTGTTCCCTATCATATAAGTAATAGCATGTCCCACAGACCATGTCACCCGTGAGGAAACTGAGGCAGGGGAAGCCATCTGCACGATGTCGCAGAGCTGGAGCAGAGCTCCCAGCAGCTGGCGCCCACTGAGGGCTGTAGGAGCCAAGAGCCGGGGGCGGCCCTGGGATGGGGGGGCAGCACCACGCGGCCATCAGCCACTGACACCTGCGTGTTGCAGAGACCGCAATGAACATTGGCTACGCGTGCAAGCTGCTCACGGATGACATGGAGATCCTGGAGGAGAAAGAGATCAGGTGAGGAGTCTTGACCTCCTGGCTCAGGACGTTGAACCTGAGGGCGTAGGAACCTGTGGCAGGCTGGGCAGCGCTCGACTCTGCCAGAGATGCTTCTCCTTCCCTGGCCCAGCCTAGATGTCCATGTCCCTGTCCCAGCCCTCATCTGCTGGTGCTTTTCCAGGCCTCCTCCTCTCTTTCTGCCCCTACATCACTTTTCCCTGCAGGCTTTGACCAGAAAGTGCTTAAGCTGCATCTCCAGCCTCTAGACCACAGGGTCAGCGGCTGATTTCTGATATCAGCAAGCCCTCGGGGCCCCCTCTTTGTCCCCCCTGTTCCCACCACCACCGGGCACCAGCTCCACCTCCCTGGAGCTGGCCCTGAGATGGCAAAAACCAACTGTAGGTCTCAGACAAAGACAGACAGTGTGCCCAGTGTCCCCAGCTCAGCTTCATCCACCCCTTCCTCACACAGCGAGATCCTCAAGGCTTACTGGGTGAGCAACAACAACCTCAGCAGCAGCGAGGAAGCCCTGTGCAGTGGCCACCTCTCCCAGCAGTGCCCAGAGGCTTCGTGCCACAAGAAGAGAGCTCTGATCATCAGTGGGGACTTCCTGGTAAGGTGGCACTCGGATGCTCTTCTCTGCTCCCTGCCTGCGCTGGCAGATTGCTGCTTCTGCCCTGGTGCCGTCAAAGTCCTGGGTGGCGGCCAGCACACAGAGGAGGCGATGCCCCTCCTGCCCAAGGGGTGGGAAAACCCCGTCCTGGGCTGAGGAGTGAAGAGTGAAGAGGGGGAACGACCTCACACCGATCATTTGGTGTTGGGGGTCTTCAACCACACCTGCCCCAACCGGCCTCCTGGGTGACGCAGGCTGGTAATCACATGCTCTTCTGGCCATACTGGGACAAACTGGCCTCATGGTCACAGTGCCCGCTGCATGATGAACTTGGAGGAAGCAGGTTGTGTTTTTGTAGCACCTACAAGATTTAAGAGCATTGTTGAGGTGCTGGGGGCCCTCGCGCTCGGAAGGCTATGGGTGAGGTCCCAACCCCGCGTGTGCTCTCCCCTAAGGACAAAATCCTCCACACGGGAGAGGTGCTGAAGGAGAAGGGACGGCTGTGGCGGTGGCTGGCTTGTTGCAAGGCTACAGGCTCGCAGGACCGGGACAGTCTGGTGGAGAAGGCCTTTGTGGACTTGGCCACCAGCTGCCAGGCAGTGATCTGCTGCAGGGTGACCCCCAAGCAGAAAGCCCTCATCGTGCAGCTGGTGAAGAAGCACAAGAAGGCCATCACGCTGGCCATCGGGGATGGCGCCAACGATGTCAACATGATCAAAAGTGAGGCTCAGGGCAGGGGAGGGTGTGGGTTTCAGCCGGCTGATCCCGCTGCTGGGGAGTGGTGGTGCCCCCTCTGCCATCTCCACCACTTCTCGATCTCCTTTGAGGTGAGGAGCTGGCAGGGAAACCCCCAGACCAGTTCCCCGTGTTGCTGTGCCAGAAGGGGAGCAAGAGGCACAGGACCAGGACCAGCCTGGGACAAGAGCAGGGTGGACAGCTTGCTTTGGTGGCGGGGATGAACCTTGACGAAACTTCAAGCCCCAACCTGGGCGACTGGCAGAGACATCCCGGCCCCTCTCCAACAGCCCTGACATGGGGCTGTGCTCTTCACACACCCACCCCTGCCCGGCAGGTCACTCCTGCAGCTGTGGCACGTGTTAGAGGGGACCTGTTCCCTTTGCCCATCACTCTGGGATCCACCCTTTGCCCGTCAGCCTGGGAGCAATCCACAGGGAAATCAAGCACCCCTTCCCTGAAAACCTCCCCACCGGCATTTCACACCCTCCTGTCCTCTGCAGCCGCCGACATCGGGGTGGGCATCAGCGGGCTGGAGGGCATGCAAGCCGTGCAGTGCAGCGACTACGCCCTGGCGCAGTTCTCCTACCTCCAGCGCCTCCTGCTCGTCCACGGCCGCTGGGCCTACCTCCGCATCTGCAAGTTCCTCCGCTACTTCTTCTACAAGACCTTTGCCGGCCTCCTGGCTCAGGTCTGGTTTGCTTTCCACAGCGGATTCACGGCTCAGGTGAGGGATGCTGCCATTAGCGGGGCTCACAGCCACCCCGCGGAGGTCTGCGCACCGATGTCTCAGCCCCTCCGCTGAGGGTCCCACGCAGGTCTCGTGCCTGGGACTGCCTGATGGGCACGTGTCCATATCACTGCCTGGCTGAGATGGTTATCTGCTGTTTACCTGGCTGGATTGGGAAAATCACCCTGGGGAGATCCGAGATGTCCTTGAGTGCTGCAGCTCAGTCTTGGACAGACACAGGGAAAGATCTCATGGTCATTAAAGCTGATTTCCTCCAAAATGGGAGCTTCTATCCCAAGGGCCATCGGTGTGACTTGACCAGCACTGTGTGGCTCCAGCACGGCCCCACAGCCCACTGATCCTGCAGATGATGCTGGGCTGATGCAGAGCCTGGGGCAAGTCCATGGGGATTTCCCAGAGTTTGGATGTGAGTCTTTCAGACTCACCCCTGGTGCCTGGGCATCCTTCCTGAGTCCTTCCAAAGCATCACAGCTCACAGCTGCTTTCTTCTCCCTCTAGCCTCTCTACGAGGGCTGGTTCCTTGCACTCTACAACATTTTCTACACCGCCTACCCCGTGCTGTCCGTGGGCCTTCTGGAGCAGGTATGGGTTCACCGGGCTGCGTCCAGCCCCTGTGCCTGGAGGCCGCATCCTCGGCAGGTGTGACTCAGCCCGGCAGTCCTTGTGCCCTGCCTGCACGGCTCTTTGTGCTGGGACAGGGTTCCAATCAGCTCAACGGGCATTTGGAACTCACCACTGGTCCTGGGGTGCCTCTGTTCCTCATCACCCCAGAGCAAGCAGGTGGAGGAACTCACTGCAGCTCTCCCAGAGGGTGTGTTGGGTGGGGTGGCGCAATCCTGTTCCCCAGCGTGGGTGGGAAGGGTGATGCTGGGTGCCCTCCCGGCAGGATGTGAGTGCCAAGAAGAGCCTGGAGTTCCCTGAGCTCTACGTGATCGGGCAGCAAGATGAGCTCTTCAACTACCGTGTTTTTGGTGTCACCGTCCTGCACGGGGTCAGCACCTCCCTCGCCAGCTTCTACATTGCGCTCTGGGCCTTTGAGGACCACATTGGTAGCAAGGCTGTCGGTGACTACGAGTCCTTTGCTGTCACAGTAGCCACGTCGTCGCTGCTGTCGGTCCTGGTGGAGGTGAGCACTGATCCGCCCTTCGCCACCCTGGCCCAGCAGCAGATGTTTAGGGACTGCAGCCCTGGGCTCTCTGACACCATCCCCAGCAACCTCGTGGCTGGGGCTTGATCTCCCTTGGGGTGGGAGAGGAATTCAGGACAAGCTGCTGAATGGAAGAGGGTCCCCACAGCCTCCGTGAGATGCTGTGTGCTCTGCCCTTGTCCCTGCAGATCATCCTGGACACCAAGTTCTGGACGGCATTGTCCTTCCTGATGGTCACAGCCAGCCTGCTGCTCTTCTGTCTCTTCTCCTTCCTGACACAAAGCATCGACGCCTTCAGGATAGCCCCTGCCATCTTCTGCTTCCCAGGTGAGACGCCTCAGGGATCCCCCCTGCCCCAGCCAGGGAAGCCCAGCCTGGACTTGGTGCTACAAGCTGATTCCTGCCTTCTAGATCATCTCTTCACTGCCCCTTCTCAATCTTGCTGGCTTGGTTTTTGGCTCCAATTTAGGTGCCATCTCCTCTTTAGATCCCTCAGCACCTTCACAGGTGGGGGCCTGTCCCCCGGCAGTTGTTCCCTCTGTTCTCTCCACCTTCCCTCCTTCAAACCACTGACTTTTTGCGCTGACAGATGCCAGCCTGAATGCCCTGACTGACCCCTACGTCCTGCTCGTGGTCCTGCTGTCCCTGGTGGTGAACACCATCCCCTCTCTCACCATCCACTTGTACCGCACCATCGTGGGCAAAGCCACCACCCAGCAGGTGAGGGCTGCGCAGGGGCTGGCGCGGCGGGGGTCTGCCGCCTGCCAGCATCGGTGCCCGGGGCTGATCAGGGCGCTACTGGTCAGGGGAAGGGTGGAGTCCCCCAGGGAAGGAGCTGCCTGGACTGTAGTGGTGGGACTGGTGCCCAAGTCGCTCCAGGGCCTTCTCCCCAAATTGGTTCATGGGTCGACGAGGCCCTGGGGCAAGAGACCTGCTCCAGCTCTTGGAGAGGGTCTGCTTTTGGCTGCAGTAAGGAACCAGCCTCCAGGACTCCCTGGACCTGGCACTTAGCAGGCACTGAGGTCCAGTGCAGGTCTTGGTAGAGCTCATCCCCGTCTGGGTTGTGGGTTGTGTCTTCCTGGGGGTACAAAGAGATCCCGGGTGACAGCAGAGGTTGAGATTGTGCTCCAGAGCTCTGGGAGCTTTGAAGACCCCCCAGAAGTGTCCACACATTGCACATCCCATCATAACAACTCAGGTCATGGTGGGGCTGGGACCCAAAGCATGTGTCAGTGGAGGGTGTCCCTGCGCATCACAGCCCTGATCTCCCCATCTCCTTGCAGAAGATCCGCCTGAAGGCCAAGCAGCAGCCGGAGCCCTCGGTGGAGCTGCGTGCCCACGTCCCTCGCGGCTCCTTCCACCGCCACTCCAGCTACGCCTTCTCCCACCAGGAAGGCTACGCCGGCCTCATCACCCGCGGGGACAGCTTGCGTGCTGGGGCCACCCGCAGCACCACCCCAGGTCTCCTGCAGCCAGAGACGACCCCAGCTTTGTCCTCCCTCCCCCTGACCCCAGCTTTGTCCTCCCTCCCCAACGCCTCTGCATAGCCGCCCTGGCTGGCATCAACCTCCCACCACGCTGGGACAGGGGAGATGCCATCAAAGGCACAGAACTGGGTGGCTTCCTCCTTTTACAGGCATTTTTTTTTTTAATCTTATTTGGACGGTTTTAAAGCACGGGAAGCCCCTGTGGCTGCAGAGGCTGGCTCAGCTGGGAGGGCTGCTGCTCAGGGTGCGGAGCCCTGGGACGTGTCCCGCCAGCAGCTCCATCTCCCCAGGCATTGTGTGCGTGGGTTTTGCGGGAGCCCGCAAAGCCGTGAAAACCAACCTCTGTCACCACCCTCAGCCCCTCGCCCCACAACTCCCCGGCTGGTGTCCCAGGTGCCTTCCCTCTGCTGAGCCCCCTTGGAGCCAGCGCTTCCTCCCACCCAAGGCTGATCCTGCTTCACGCTGGACACACAAACAGCAGCTCTGCTGCCCCAGGCTTGCCATCCCACCTCTGAGTTCATCAAATGCCCCAATGCAAGACCAGCAGCGGGGCTGGGTGGTGGGTGCAGCCTCTCACCGCAGCCCACTCCCCCCCCAGGGGCTGAGCTGCAGCGGCCGCGTGAAGACCCTCATCTTGTTTTCCCACAGCTGCAAGGAGCGCGGTGCAGAGCCAGTCGCCCTCCCCACCCAGGGCTGGATCCGGGGCCCACGGCTTTCACATGCCTCAACCCAACAGATCGGACTCGAGCGGCGTAATTTTAAAATGATGCCCCCCCCCGTTTTCTGGAGGAGGACCCACATACCATCGATCACCTGCAGGTTTTTCTTCTCCAGCCAAATCAGCCTGGCTTCTCACAGCCTCTCCTCAGCGCTCCCCACCATCTACCTCCTTGCCTTTGCCATCCCTGCACAAGGTGCACGTGGCAGTGGTGTCTACTCTGTGCCATGCCCCATCTCCGCGTCCCGCTTGCCCCGGGGCTGATGTCCACATCTTTGGGGACAGCGTGTTTGCTGTCGGGGTGACATACATCAGCTCAGCCCAGCGGGCACAGCAGCACGTCCTGCAGAGCCACGCTTTGTGGACGTCGGCAGCAGCTGCTGGAGAAGTTGTGTGTGAACAACTGACTGGTGACAAGATCGCCCTTTTTATTGTTTTTTGTTGTTTTTTTTTTTTTTAATTAAAAGGACTTGAGCTTTTCTTTCCTCTCCTGTAACTCTCTGCTGTGCCACCAAGGGAGAAAGCTGCACAGAGAAGTCCTGTGGTGCCTCGGTGTGTGCCACCAGCTCTGTGCCACCTGCCAGCACTTGTGCCATGGGAAAATGCACGGTGGGACAAGATATTTGGGTAAATAAATAAATGAGACATGAGGGCTTGGGCCTGCCTGCAGCGCACACAACTTGATCAGTTTGTTTAACAAGTGCTTTGGCCTCATCTACACCGAGTTTGTGAGAATTAAAGTGTTTTCTTTGGGCTCTGGCCAGAAGGGTGCTGGATGGTGCCAAGAAATAAAAGTATGAGGCTTCCTCTGGGAAAACTCTCACCTCCGCAATGGCCAGGTGGAAAACAGGGGGAAGAAACCTTTCCCGGCTGCCTGGCCATGATCCCCAAATCTACGTCCTGATGCTCTCAGGCCGGGTCTAAGGGAGAGGAGCTGAGATGGTTAAAATGGGGCTACTCCTCCCCAGCAGCTCTTGTCCTGGCTGAGCAGCTCCTGGAGCAGCGGAGCTGCATCAGGAGAGAACTGAACCCCGAGCATCACCACGGGACACACACACACACCCCAGGATGAATGACTAGAAAATAATTTATTGAAGAAACAGAAAGCTGCAGAAATACAACACAGTCATGACCAGTAGAGGATGAACAAATAGAGATTAATTTTTTTTTTTTTCTCTCTCTCTTTTAAAACCTGTTGACAGGCTGGAGTTAAGTTTCCTGGTAACTTCCCCTGCATGAGTCATTGCAAAGAACAAGAAACAAACTCCAGAGCACACAGCACAGTTTGGATAAAGTGCCTGACACATAAGACTCTTTTTAATTTTTTTTTTTCTTTTTTAACGTTTGCAAATAGCTTAAACAAATATAGTTGCAAGACACAGAGGAGTAACAATTGCATTTCGCTGTAGAGTAAAACCTATCCCATGAGAGTAACAATGAAGCAGCAGAAAAAAAAAAAAAATTCAATTTAATTAGAAGGAAAAAGTCATTTAAAAAACTCATAGATGCGGCCCTCAGACCGTGTGGGATGAGGGCGAGCGTCGCCTATTGCTATACAGAAAAATGAGCAATGTTTTCTGGAGGTGGTTGGACTGGCAAATCCAAGGCTGCGGGTTCTTCCTGGCCAGGATTAATTCTGTCTGACTTCTTTTTTTTTTTCCTTTAGAAATTTAAGGGGAAAAAGAAAAAAAGAAAACAAAACAAAACAAAAAAAAAACCCTTTATTTTGTTCTTTGCATTTTTAATTTCCTCTCTTTAAAAAACCCAAAGACGTAAGAAGAACCAGATTCTGCGTGGCGGTGTCTGCAGGCCCAGCCCCATCGCCGGCTGCCAACACCACCTCGGCCGCGGGTGTCCTCTGAGACAAGGGAAAAAAAGGAGCCGCTGCAACGCGGGGAGCACGCGGTGGTGACGGGGCTGGCTGGCCGGCGCGGCGCTGGCAGCCAGCTCAGCCCCGCGGCAGATTCGCAGTGCCCGAAGCAGGGTGGGGAGAGAGGTAGTGATGAGCCGATCGATCATCTTCCCCACCCATACTCCAGATGCTCGGGAAAAGGGATGCGTGGTGATTTTTTTTTTTTTTTTGGCAAAGCCATTCCTTGGCACAGAGAAACACCCGCTCCTGGCCCACTCAGTGCTGGTGTCCCATCAGCAGCGCTGTTGTTAGAGCAGGGGAAGCTCAGCTCGGGCTGTGCCGTCGCTGTGTGACGATGGCTAAAACCCGGCTGGGTGTCCCTGGGAGCTCGTGCTCCTCCTGCTCGCCCAGCGGCATGGGCACAGTGCTGCCCTGCTGCCAGTGGTGGGTCTTCAAAGCCCAAAAGCCATCGGTGGAAAAATTCCACCCAAGGTAGTGCCAGAGTGCCCGCGGGACGTCGTGGGTGATGAAAGGACCCAAATCCCTGAAAACTGCCACAACTGAAGTAGAACATGGTGACCAGGCTGAACCAGCAGGTCTCAGTGAGAGATCCCAGGTTCCCTCCTCTTCCTCACCCTCCAACTGTCCCCTCTCCATCGCCCTCAGAAGTGCCCCTGGGGTCCCGGTTTTGTTCCTGCTCACCACAGCACAAAAACATCCTTCAGGGGCAACCCTGGTTGAGAGAATTGTCTTTAGGACAGAGTTTGGATTGTCATTACCTGCAAGGAAAAAAAAAATAAAAAATCTTTGGTATCATGGCAAGTTGCTCCTCAAGGCGTTTTGGTTGATGTGGGCAGCAGGCATGGCCAGATCCGGCGTGGGGCAGGGCTCAGCCTGCCTGTGGCTGATCCAGCGAGTCCCGGTGGGCTAAAGGACGGGGGCGAGTGCTCAGCTCTTGGCTTCTCGGGGGTTTCCCAAGCCACTTGATTGACGTCCTGTGATGGAAACCACCTCCGTAAGGCTGAAGGACTTGTGGGATGCATCCAAGCCTGGTGAGACCTTCTTGAAGTTGGAAATGAAGTCTTGGCCTCCAAAGCTTCTCATGCTGGAAAAGGTCTCCCAGGAGGAAATGGGACACGGCAGGGATGCAGAGCTCCCCAGAGGACAGGAAGGTTAGTCAGTAGATGAATGGCGCTGCTGGAATAAACATCTCTTCCTAGGACAGGTCTTCAGTCAGTGGACCATGGAAGAGCTCATGTCTTCCACCACCACTTGCACTGAGCGTCTCAGTGCTGGCCACAGAGGAGGCAAAGGCTGCAGGGACAGCACAGATGCAGATTAAAAAAAAACCAACCAAACAAACAAACCCCCTTTTGGGGGCCCGAAGAAGCTGAAATCTCCTTTCTCACAGTGGGCTGAGCTTTGAGGCCACCTCTAGTGACAGAGGCTAGATGGAGCGGTGAAGAGGCTTGAGAGGGATGAAGAATCAGCATTTTAAGGTAAATGCTCTGATAATGGTGGGAAAGCAGAAAGAAAGAGGTACAGCTGCCTCCTCCAGGCCCCCGTGACCTTCCTGACCTCCAAAGACTTTACTCCTTACTGCTGCTCTCCTCCCATCTTTAAGCAAGGAGAGGAGGAGGAGCAGGGGGAGGAAGGAGTAGGGGATGCAGCCTGGTTCAGGGCAGGCTCTCTGGACATCTGCAGAAAGCTCCCTGGCTGTCTAGGGCGGGCAAGGAGATTTTCCAAAGTCCCCCAAGTCCTAACAGTGGCCAGGACCTCTGGCTGGGCTCTTCTTCCTCTTCCCCCTTCAACTAGAGCGGGCGTCTCTGCAGGGCAAGAGCCAGGCTGGGTGCTCTGACTCCTTGGGGAGAAAAACCTCCGAAACGGGCCCCTCCAGTCCATCCCTGGGTCCAGCTGGGCCCCGATGCAGCGTCATCTTCAGCGCCTATTTCCGTGCAGAGCAAGAGCAGAGGCAGGTCTGTGAGGTCACCCCAAGGATGGGGACTTGGGAGCATCACCCGGAAAGGTCTCAGCCCCGGTGGGGGGGCGGTTTGGGGGGGGTCGTTTCCCTTGTCTCAGAGCACACGAGGAGCCCCGTGGCTTTTCCAGCTCAGGTCATGGCAGCTGATTGTCTCTCCTTCTCTTGTCTGCACTTGGGATTTGACCCACAGAGCTGGATAAAGCACAAAAAAAAAAAAAAAAAATCCCCCAAAAAACCAAACCCAAAGCACAGCAAAGAGCCAGGCCCCACGGCAACCGATGGGACAGGTAGGGAACGCACGCCGGGGTCCCGTGCCCCAGACACCCTTCCTCAGCATGAGGAAAGAAAGAAAAGCGGCGAAGGAAGAAACCGAGGGGATTAAACAACGACTCTCCCGTAGTTGCACGAGTTGGAATAAAACATGATCCGTGGAGAAAAGTCCTCACCAACCGAAAACTCATGGACGAAAAAAAGCACAGTTTGAGCCCTCCCGCTCCCACCCGACCACC